CCAAGTGTTGATTAGCAAGAAATCAACTATCTTGAGCAGCTCCTTACAGAGCTTCTTAGCAACCATTTCCAAATTCTTGCTTGCCTACACAGAAACATCTCACATACCCTGGGAATCTCTCAGTATCATGTACGATCAACTTGTTTTTAAAGTCAAAACTACAAGGTTATTAAATTTAATTTGTATTTGTCAGTTTGTGGAATGTAGTGCAAAGCCCGTTAGCTTCAGCTTCTTACGGAAAGCAGAGGGGTGAGGATAAGAAGATATAGTGAGATGCCAAAGATTCCCTGCACAAATTGAATGAAATTATTTTTCTTAGCTGAGTGTAATAATATAAAAAAGTTGAATAAAGGCATTGACAGTTATTTTAACAAAGTAATATATGATCTGAAGTATGATTTAGAATTATTCCTATCTCAGATTAATAATAAAGATTCAAAACATTGGAATGTTTTGAATGCATTCCAAACACCTTTCCCAGAAGTGTAAACATTGTTGCATGAAATTGGGGAGGTTACCATTATTTATACAATAAACTGTATCCAAAAATTGCCCAGTTTTGTTGGGATCACACGTATCTGGAGCACAGCAGCTCTGCCCTCTCCCACCCAACTCCTGTAGTCTCTGTGTCAATAGATACCTTCATTTATGTTCACCACCTTTCTGTAGGCCTGAATGTCTAAACTGAAATTTGACTCGATTTGAATAGTGGCACTCCTGCCTCCTTTGTATCAGCTGCATGGATTCCCATCACCCCTGAAAGCAAGCTCTGTGGTTTTGACGAGGTTTTGTTGCGTAACTTTACATTTCTGCTCTTGACAGCATTGGCCAATGCATCTCGTAGACAAAGCTTTCCAAAAGAGGTGGTTGGACTGACGTTCCTAGGGACAGCTGGCATAGACTGCCACAGCCACTAAGATATGCAGGGTGAGAAATCATCATCCTCTTAGGGGGCCTGTTAGTTTAAAAGTCTTTGGCATTTCAAAAATGCTTTTGGTTGAGCACTGCTTAATTGTAGATATAAATTTTGTCACTGCTGCTACGAAGAGCATAGCTACAGTGTTATCAGACTGTCTCAAATATCTAGGATCATTGGAGAGACATCAGGGTGGTTTTAGTCACTGCTGAGTTTTGTCTGAGATTCTTTGTAGATTTTCTTTTTTATCAGTGGTGTTCTGCACAAACCGGGGGAAAGGAAATACCCATATTTAATAAATGAAAATAAAACACTGCTGTTTCTTTGCCACAGGAAAACCTATCATCATGTGATACTCCTTACTAACAAACCCCACCAACCTGAAGTTGTTGGTACGAAAAGCAAAATATGGAGAGTGCACTCTCTTGCTGAATTGAAGCCTTCCCTGGTATTTGGTGCAATTACACAATACACACGGATTTGCTTTCATTAAAATGAGAAAGAAGGTGGTAGATAATCTGTTGTGTGCAACAGGGGAGCATTTCGATGAGTGATCTTCTTCTCCTCTCAAAGTTCCTCAGCAATGTGAAAACTTTGGAATCTTTATTTAGGGTACTCTTACTCTCAAAAGTCTGTTCTTAAAGATCTTTATATTTGGCTTTTTATTTTTCTTGACTTTCATCCTTTCTTTGCTCCAGTTTCAGGAAATGAGAGATTTGTATCTCACCCACGTAACAAACAGTTTGTCAGCTTCAACCACAATATATGTGGGTAATTTCAGCTGAAGGAGGGAAGCGTGGAAGCAATATTTGTTTATGACTTTTTTTTTTTTTCTCCTTAGCATAAGCTGGGAAGAGTAATTGCATGAAATCGTCCTCTTTTTCAGAGGCTCCTAATACATCCCCAGCCTATCTCAGATAGACCTTACTGATCATTCCTGATGGTCTGCAACAATTCTGTAACTGTTCCAGTAATTCACTGGGCAGAGTTGTTTAGCACGCTGCCTTGGTTCGTTAATATTGAGCAATGTGAATTACAAAGCAACGTCTGCCATGCCTTAGCTACCATTTGAGAGAATGGATTGTACTATCGTTTCGGGGAAAGTATTTTTTTTTTTTGCTCAGGCAATTGATGTTTATAATTATGAAATACAAAATAAATGGGTGAAGATCGGGAAATCTCCTTTGCAATAACTTCTTTTCTGACCCGTAGCAGCCCTGCTTGCCCTGCAACAGTTGGGCTGTGCAGCTGCAGGCACTGGGCTCAGCTACGTGGGAGATGCCAGAAGCCCTTCGGTGAAGGGTTAGCTGAGATCATGCGCGCAGGAGCAGAGAGGAGCTGAAACATGGAGATGGGGAGCGTAACAGGTCACGCTTGCTTGTGCCCTCTCCCTCCCAGAAGGTGGCTACAGGAGCATCTTTTCAGTCACCCTTTATTGCACGACCTTGAAGATGCTACCACAGGCGCGTCATGGACGCTATGCGCGGGTGGCAGTGACGCCCTCCCTATGCACGCCGTGCAGCTGCTCTGGGCACACACACCCCGTCTGAAGAATAGTGCGGGACATGATCCAGTGCCACTGGATTTACTGCACCTTCACCATGCACGCTGGTGCAGTACCAAAGACTTCCATCACCCTTACAAGGACCCTGAGGCATCGCAGTGTCTTGACAAAAATGTCTTCCCCCACAGTTAGTGATAAATTAATGCAATCCTGTGCTAGAAGTGAGTAGCAAAAAGGGCAGGGAAATGCAGTAGTTTGTCTCTCTCTCTTTTTTTTTTTTTTTTAAAATGTTTTCTCATTACTGGGCAGAATGGCAAAACCACATTAAATATTAATTTATCTGCAAGTATCATTTCTAGTGCTTTATTAGTTCCCGCACAGCATGAACATATGTACAGCTCTGTTTATATCAGCTGATTTTCAGCAGTCTTTGGGATTGTAAATACCTGAGTTTAAAAAAAAAGTTATATCCCCATAGGTGCATAAAAAATGTATTGGGTCGATCCAATACATTGGAAACGTTAGATGTACTTTGCCCCTGAAATCGTATAATAAGTACCCTGTGCAAACACTGTTCAGTTGCATAACGTGACCATAATTTGTGCAAATTGGAATGAGACAGATGAAGACCTGAATTTGTGCCCTTGGACATCACAAGTCATTCATTAGTGGACTTACTAAAGCCCAAATCTGGTGTGAGGTCAGATTTGACCTGTAAGACATGTTTCTCATTTGTTTTCCAAAAAATTCTGACAGAGAAAATGATTGAATTCCGAGAGTTAAAATAAGAAGCAGGGGTTTATGTATTTTTTATGAGCTGATGAGAAGTAATTTCTGGCAAGGCTGGTGATTTATATGGAGAGAAAAGGAGAACTGAGTCACATACAGTGAAATCGAGCTATTGGTTTAAAGGCAAAAATATATCAACAAAAATTCAAAGGCACAGCCCTATAATAGTGTCATTGGAAGGGACTGTTTCTCCAGAAAGCAATTTTCCTGTAGTTTCTCAACCACCACTGGATATTGAAGTGCCAGTTCTTTTAAACTGTGGTAACTTTTGTCCAGTGCAGTGAGTTTCATATCTGAGCAGCTTTCTGGTTTTGAGTAACTGCTCATGTGTATTGAATGGTCCCACTTTCCATTTTGGTGTTTCTTCCGCTTTAATTTAGAAAAAATAGTATTCTGGATTCTCAGTGGTAGTAATCTAGCAAAACCTTGTTCAAATTAAGCTACGTTCGTTGTTATTAGACAAGACTTGATTGAGTGTCCCTTAAATTATACATAGATTTTTGAAGTTAGCTTAAAAAAAAAGGATGATTGATACTTCCTGAAAATGAGAGAACCCAGGTATTTTCCCAGTGCAAGTATCACCATGTTGTTTGACTCATAACTAATGAAATCAGCTAGGAAAATTAACTGTTGCAGAGCTAAACAAGGGGTTAATTTGGCCTGAGCTGTCTTTGGATCTCTAGTAGATGTTTAATGTTATGATGGACATTTTTAATCTACATGATCACAGTAAGCTCTAACCCATGGCATTAAAAGGTTTACTTTGTATCATATCGTGCAATCTGTACGTGTCAGAGGTGTTAGAAAAGAGATTGTATTAAAAAGTCAGGGCTTGTTTTTAACAGTGGTATTATGGCTATGAATTTTCTAAATCCTTATATCTGTTCAAAGCAAAGGAAAATATATATTACATATATAGATAAAAATCACATTTAAAATATCATTAAAAGTGCATTCCACATCTTACTTTTGTTTAAAAAAAAGGCAAAAATGCCCTTGAATTACCTTCTTTTTAAGATCCTTCATGCTTAGGTGCAAGTATTGTGCATTCCACTGGAGAGGTGAATCACCATGCTCCTGGAATAAAGTTTCTCTTTCTGGTAGGAGGGGGTTTCGTGCAATAACCTGCTTATTGTTCCAGGTGTTGATATTGCCCATTTTAGGGTTATTTTAATGGTAAAACTCTGTATGTGATGGGAGGAAGAGCCTGGTTTTGGAGTCTCAGACTGTACGGTTGGCTGGCTGTATGGCTAAACACCTCCAGAACATGAATGGTGAGAAGCCAGAAGAAGTTGAGCAGTTGGAGAAGACTTGTCCCACTTGGGCCTTTCAGGGGATGGAGGGCTCATGGCCTTGCCTGATGTAGTTTTCCGCATTAGCGTTTCATGTTGTTGCTTTTTCCCTCTCATGAGAAGAGAGAGAATGCGGAGGACTGAGCAGGATGGGGAAAAGGAAAATGTCTTCACATGCAAGTTCTAGATTTGCCTTTTAAGATAGTTCACTGGGCTTCTGTTCCACCCAAAAAAAATAAATGCAGCAAAAAAATGTTTTTGTTATGTCAGCTAGCTAAAACACTGTGTTTTCTGCCAAAGCTATAGCTCCTCTGTAAGGAATGTTGAGTAGGACGTTTGGTTTCTCTATGAAGAATCACATGATAGGCTGAAATTGAGAATGGCTGTGTTCAGGCAGATGCCTTCATGCACGCAGACACAGATGTTACAGCTTCAACTGAGGCAATTTTCAAGTATTTCGCTGTTCCTTGCTGACAATCTGATTTGTATTTTCCAACAGTGGGATGGCGTAGGACCTCTCCCAGACTGTGCAGAACCACCCAAAGGAATCCAGATGCTGTGGCACCCTTCAATAGTCAAACCCTACCTCACACTTCTTTCTGAGTGCTCCAATCCAGACACGCTGGAGGGGGCAGCAGGGGCACTCCAGAACTTGGCTGCTGGGAGTTGGAAGGTAGGAATATTAACCTGATCTGTATTTCTTTTTCAAAAACCACTACGGATGACAAGAAGTTGGTGATATAAATGTAGGTGAATGCTTCTAGTAGCAGAATAGCCCTCTCTTTTCACAGAACTATCTGCAGTCAAATTTGAGATAGTATTTTAAGTCCTCTGAATTGATACAGGTGGTCATATCACAGGACAAGTCAGCATACAGCAGGGAAAATCACATTGGTCAAGTCAAGTATGAAAAATTGCCGCTGAAAACTAACATCCAAATGAGGAAAAGCAGCATCTTTATGAATCTGGAGTGATAGAGACATGAAAAATGAGCCGAAAATATCACCGGTGACAATCAAATGAAACCATATTGTTTTGTCACTGCAGAAACTGGTTGACATTCTGTCTCTAAAGAGAAACCAGGCAAGAGCAGGGCAAGATATAAATGATGTGACACCAACACAAGTAATCTTAGTATTGACTTTTTTAAAAAATAAGACATTATTAAAATGCATCGACAATGTGATTAAATATGTACAATGAGCAAGGAAATGCTCAATCAAGGGACTCTATTCTAGCTCATCCTACTTTTCAATCATAATCAAAAGATCAATTTTTCTCTCTCGTATTATTTGCAGTGAACTGAGAAAAAAATTAAGAACTCATTTATTAGATTTTGAAAATGTTTCTAAACTTAGAACAAATCAATAAAATTCAAGATAACAGTTGAGCCTGGTTTATTTTTTAGGGCAATTTCTTCATCGCTTTCCTGAAGCTAAATGGTTTGATTGGGAGAAAGTACTAACTATCTAGTCCTACTGTATAAAGATAATGCCTTGACTTTAAGTTAACTCTCAGTGGGAATTTTTCACATTCACAATGAAAACATGCATGTATGGGGAAATGCAGTTGTCAAAGTTAGGTCTCAGAAGGTATCCTGTTTGGTTTCTAAGCATTTGGGCATTCATATGTGATATGTAAATACCAATTTAATGAGTCATTAATTTCGAAACGTTTCTTTTTTTCCCCTAAAGTTTTATTGGAAGTTGAGTTGGCACATTCAGTAGATCTTCAGAGGCATGTGATTTTTTTTTTTGAGCCCACCAAACTTATAAAATGCCTTTGACTATTGCATTCATTGACAAATGAAATGAGTAACAAAGGTATCTGTCCGGTGATTTCTGTCCTACAAAGTGCTACGTATACACTATGCTTGAAAATCATTATACTTTTATTATTCTCATATTGTAGACCACATCAGATTGTGTAATGCTGGCAAAGAAACCCAACAAATGCGTTTTATTCATCTGGGAATGGGTGTAGCTCTGGGCCAAATGAGAAAGCAATGCATGCATATTTGCCAGGACTAACAGGAGTGCTAAAATGCAAGTGGTGCCACTTCTCCCATTTCTGATAAATCTGTACCTGTCATCCTTTAGTTGGCAGAAGCGTATGGTGGCGAGAGGAAGGAAGGCTCTGCAGAGGCCTTTGGCAAGTGCTGGGTTAGAAAAACTGGTTTGAACTTTAATACTATCCATGCTGATGCCATGAGAAAAGCTCAGTTGTTCTCGTGTTGCTCTACTTTTCTAAAGATTCGCCAATTCCATTGCAAGTGATGTGCAGACGCAGAATGAATATCCTTAATTTCACGTGTCATGCTAGCCATTTTTGCGAGGGGAATAATCCTCTTTGGAGATTACATAAGCATTGACGTTTCCACCGTTTGACCTCTCTCTTCCACTGCTGCAGTCTTCTGGATCTAAAATGACTGAAATAAAAGTTAGAAAACTCTTAAAAGAAGAGGCTATTCCTAAGGGAGATCTTTCTTTTTTTTAGTTCCTACAAGAAGCCGTAACTGTATGAGGAATGGGAAAAGGGCTTTGGTTTCTTTTTTACTTGAAATCTTTCAAGAAGAACTTTATGATGGACTGAAAGAGGGAAGAGGAGCAAACTGCATTCAAATAAACAATGTTGCTATTAATATTAATAGCAATAGTAATTGTGGGCTTTTTTCCAGTTAGCATCATTTTAATGCCAGAAGAATCCCAGAATATATGAGGCAGCCAGTGCACCACAGTTCACACACTTCCGAGGATGCGGTCTCTTCTGGAAAAAAATAGAGTGCAGTTGATGCACTTGCATAGTTCGTTCTTAGCCATTTCACCTTTTGGTTCCTCTGGTATAAAGCTGTCTAATCCTCTTTGGTGACCGAGAGGTAACACTTTTAACACAGGCAGTGCTTAACCAATGCCATTGTGAAGGGAAAGTGAGCAGATAAAAGGAAGCCTGAATAATTTTTGAAAAATAAAAAAATTGTGTAGGGGATTTAGATAAATGTCTGCCACTAGAATTAACAGATGATATGTGTCTAAATCCCCTAGACTGCTTTCAAAAATTCCAAACACAAAAAGAAAGCAGCAGTATGAAGCTTTAAGGATTAATAGCTGAGAGAGGCTGAAAGTTTTCCTTATTTCAGGGAATATAGTTTCTCATTGATACATACACAGAAAATCAACACATGCACATAATAAATCTTAATCTGTAGGACATTTTTAGCTCTTTTTCAATTGCAGGAATTCCTTCTAAAGCCAAATACTAACAAAAAAGAAAAAAGTGTGACAGACATATATTTGCATATAATTTCCCAGTGTCAAGATAAAACACTTTGGAGCAAAGCCTTGCCATATATTACCCATCTGCAAAGTAAACTTTAACATTAACAGGTCCAAATGAAAGTTTACCAATAAAACAGGATGCTGATCTGAGATATGAGGAAGGATTTTTTCAATGCGAAAATTTAACCTGGGATAGATCACGTCTGCATATCTTGATTTTGATGTATGTTCTGGTTCTGAAGAAGACCTTGCCAGCTTATCCACAAAGCAGAACTCATTTTGAAAGAGGCTGTTTCAGGTGAATATGGAGGTTCATTCATCTTGCTCTTCTGCACCAAGACTTACACAGGGAGGACACTGGTATTGGAATCTGAAGGAAGCAAACCCATTCGTTTCATGGGAGAATGCACACGTATCCTCACAGATCCCTCTTTTTTTATTCACATACTTCTTTGATGCATCTACACATACTATGAATGGCCCTTCCAGAATAATATATATGGAGACGTCTAAATAGGTATGCTTTTTTGGGGGATGTGACAAGGTTTTCCACATCGCTGCCAGGATATGTTTAAGGGGTGACTACTGCTTTGCGCAGTGCCCTGTGATACCAGCAGTTGGTCACTGCCTGTCCCCCTCCTGGTGGGGTTGATGGCCACTAGCAGTACGCACTCCAAGTACACAGGCACCCTGACAGCCTGCAGGTCACGTTGTCAGCGCGGTACGTGCACACGCCTACCCCTTTCTGCAGAACTGCTGCTACCTGGGGCTGGGTGGGTTTCTCTTTGAGGGACTCATTGCTTCCCAAAATATTTTCTCCCATCAAATCATAACCAGGGTAACTTCACTTTATCCTAAACTTCCTACAGGCAGAAGGAGCAACGCATAAAAAGGATGGCCATTGGTTTTGGTTTTGCTTTGTTTCATTGCCACATTTTTTTCCAAAAGTAGACTTTTTCTAGTTATACTTAGTATAAACTTGTATTTTAAAGCTGCTTAGTAGTATGAAATAACAATCCAGGCAAATACATTCCTCCGGCTTGGCTGAAGTTTTCACTGAGTGAATAGGGCATGAGACGTGCCTTTGGAAGCAGTGGAGACTCTTTACTTCCCATTAGGTATCTGCTTTCATTGGGAGCTCTGTTACTTTTCTTTGCCACTTCATTTGGGTTTTGCCAAGTTTGTGCAAAAATGCATAAATAAAAATAGGTTTGATGACTCACTAAGCTGTATTCTGAAGATACGTGCCTGCTTATTAAGAAATTTCTCTCACTATAACACTTCAAACCTGAAGTCCTCTCAGCAACCTTGTATCATTATTTATTTTAATACCTTGGATTAAAAAGGTTAGGAGGTATAAAATTACAAGACTCATCCTGTAAAAGGAAATCTCTGTAGATCTTCTATGTAGTCTGGCATCGGTATTTTTCCTTAGATGACGGGAATAAAAGTGGCAAGTTCTTTTTAGTTTTCACCTTGGTCAATAGGCTATTAATACATTAAATCTACTGAGCATGTAAAAAGTTACACACAAAATGTCCTAGAGTTAACGATGTCAAGAATCCAAAGTTATGTCCATTCTGAACAAAATTTCCCTCTCAGGAAGAAAGGAGATATTGGGATATCTATATATTACTGTGTCTGTCTGTATATATCTGACAGCTAAATTTAGGCTGATGTCAGTTTATCTGCCAGAGACATATCTGCAATACCCTTTGCTGTGAACTCATAGAATCACAGAAGGGCTGAGGTCAGCAGGGACCTCTGGAGAGCTCAAGCAGGGCCACCCAGAGCCGACTGCCCAGGACCATGTCTAGCCAGTTTTTTGAGTGTCTCCAAGGATGGAGACTCCACAACCTCTGTGGGCAACCTGTGCCTATGCTCGATCACCCTCACAGTGAAAAAGCATTTCCTGATGTTTTGCAAACCTCCTGCATCTCAGTTTATTTCCATTGCCTCTGGTCCTACAATATTATCTTTTCTATTACTTCCAGTTAAAAATACAGTGTCATCACCACAAGTAGGTTTTCCTTAGTTTTGTCAAACCCTTAAAAATAATTTCTTCATTCATATGATCATGTTTTGTTTTAAAATACTGTCATAACTTATATAAGTAATACATACCTTTTAGAACCAGGAAACAAGATCTACTATGTTTCCATTGGCTTACATTAGAACAGATTGCACACTTGCCTTGGGCCTTGGTTAGTCCCTTCTGTGTGCCCAGTCTTCTGTCCCAGTCACTTTTCAGGCTTTACAAACTTCCTGCATCTGCTTTAATGACAGGATGGCCACCTTCGTTTTCCTGAGCGTCTGTTAGTTTCTTGGGCTCTTTAACATCAGGAACAAGTGCTGCTCTGTTGAAGTCTTGCAGTTGCATGAGGCCGTAGCATTCCTT